CAGGCGGGCTGGTCAACGCCCTTCCCCCTCCGGGCAGGCTTGGTGGTGCGGATCAACACAAGTCCATTTGCTTTTCTGCTCCAAGCGGCTGGTTCTCTGTGCTAAGTCCTTGTGCCTCCGGGGCCGTGGCCGTGCCGGAGAGCCGCTCGTGGGGGGCAGCTGGCGACCTTGGTGGGGCGTGGGGGACGGCCCACAAAGCCCCCCTTCCCATGAGGTCCCCGCCGCTCCCCCGAGCCCGGCTCAAACCCGCTTTCCACAAGGCTCCCGTGCGGCCGCCATCTTTCTTTCCAGAGAGGAGCAGGCGGGCTGGTCAACGCCCTTCCCCCTCCGGGCAGGCTTGGTGGCGCGGATCAACACAAGTCCATTTGCTTTTCTGCTCCAAGCGGCTGGTTCTCTGTGCTAAGTCCTTGTGCCTCCGGGGCCGTGGCCGTGCCGGAGAGCCGCTCGTGGGGGGCAGCTGGCGACCTTGGTGGGGCGTGGGGGACGGCCCACAAAGCCCCCCTTCCCATGAGGTCCCCGCCGCTCCCCCGAGCCCGGCTCAAACCCGCTTTCCACAAGGCTCCCGTGCGGCCGCCATCTTTCTTTCCAGAGAGGAGCAGGCGGGCTGGTCAACGCCCTTCCCCCTCCGGGCAGGCTTGGTGGCGCGGATCAACACAAGTCCATTTGCTTTTCTGCTCCAAGCGGCTGGTTCTCTGTGCTAAGTCCTTGTGCCTCCGGGGCCGTGGCCGTGCCGGAGAGCCGCTCGTGGGGGGCAGCTGGCGACCTTGGTGGGGCGTGGGGGACGGCCCACAAAGCCCCCCTTCCCATGAGGTCCCCGCCGCTCCCCCGAGCCCGGCTCAAACCCGCTTTCCACAAGGCTCCCGTGCGGCCGCCATCTTTCTTTCCAGAGAGGAGCAGGCGGGCTGGTCAACGCCCTTCCCCCTCCGGGCAGGCTTGGTGGCGCGGATCAACACAAGTCCATTTGCTTTTCTGCTCCAAGCGGCTGGTTCTCTGTGCTAAGTCCTTGTGCCTCCGGGGCCGTGGCCGTGCCGGAGAGCCGCTCGTGGGGGGCAGCTGGCGACCTTGGTGGGGCGTGGGGGACGGCCCACAAAGCCCCCCTTCCCATGAGGTCCCCGCCGCTCCCCCGAGCCCGGCTCAAACCCGCTTTCCACAAGGCTCCCGTGCGGCCGCCATCTTTCTTTCCAGAGAGGAGCAGGCGGGCTGGTCAACGCCCTTCCCCCTCCGGGCAGGCTTGGTGGCGCGGATCAACACAAGTCCATTTGCTTTTCTGCTCCAAGCGGCTGGTTCTCTGTGCTAAGTCCTTGTGCCTCCGGGGCCGTGGCCGTGCCGGAGAGCCGCTCGTGGGGGGCAGCTGGCGACCTTGGTGGGGCGTGGGGGACGGCCCACAAAGCCCCCCTTCCCATGAGGTCCCCGCCGCTCCCCCGAGCCCGGCTCAAACCCGCTTTCCACAAGGCTCCCGTGCGGCCGCCATCTTTCTTTCCAGAGAGGAGCAGGCGGGCTGGTCAACGCCCTTCCCCCTCCGGGCAGGCTTGGTGGTGCGGATCAACACAAGTCCATTTGCTTTTCTGCTCCAAGCGGCTGGTTCTCTGTGCTAAGTCCTTGTGCCTCCGGGGCCGTGGCCGTGCCGGAGAGCCGCTCGTGGGGGGCAGCTGGCGACCTTGGTGGGGCGTGGGGGACGGCCCACAAAGCCCCCCTTCCCATGAGGTCCCCGCCGCTCCCCCGAGCCCGGCTCAAACCCGCTTTCCACAAGGCTCCCGTGCGGCCGCCATCTTTCTTTCCAGAGAGGAGCAGGCGGGCTGGTCAACGCCCTTCCCCCTCCGGGCAGGCTTGGTGGCGCGGATCAACACAAGTCCATTTGCTTTTCTGCTCCAAGCGGCTGGTTCTCTGTGCTAAGTCCTTGTGCCTCCGGGGCCGTGGCCGTGCCGGAGAGCCGCTCGTGGGGGGCAGCTGGCGACCTTGGTGGGGCGTGGGGGACGGCCCACAAAGCCCCCCTTCCCATGAGGTCCCCGCCGCTCCCCCGAGCCCGGCTCAAACCCGCTTTCCACAAGGCTCCCGTGCGGCCGCCATCTTTCTTTCCAGAGAGGAGCAGGCGGGCTGGTCAACGCCCTTCCCCCTCCGGGCAGGCTTGGTGGTGCGGATCAACACAAGTCCATTTGCTTTTCTGCTCCAAGCGGCTGGTTCTCTGTGCTAAGTCCTTGTGCCTCCGGGGCCGTGGCCGTGCCGGAGAGCCGCTCGTGGGGGGCAGCTGGCGACCTTGGTGGGGCGTGGGGGACGGCCCACAAAGCCCCCCTTCCCATGAGGTCCCCGCCGCTCCCCCGAGCCCGGCTCAAACCCGCTTTCCACAAGGCTCCCGTGCGGCCGCCATCTTTCTTTCCAGAGAGGAGCAGGCGGGCTGGTCAACGCCCTTCCCCCTCCGGGCAGGCTTGGTGGCGCGGATCAACACAAGTCCATTTGCTTTTCTGCTCCAAGCGGCTGGTTCTCTGTGCTAAGTCCTTGTGCCTCCGGGGCCGTGGCCGTGCCGGAGAGCCGCTCGTGGGGGGCAGCTGGCGACCTTGGTGGGGCGTGGGGGACGGCCCACAAAGCCCCCCTTCCCATGAGGTCCCCGCCGCTCCCCCGAGCCCGGCTCAAACCCGCTTTCCACAAGGCTCCCGTGCGGCCGCCATCTTTCTTTCCCCATCACCCCATTTTTGATGGGGCTAGATGTTTTCTTCTTGTAGGGTTCAACCAGTGCTTGTATGTCCTTGATACCAACCGTTTATCAGATGGGTTTGGGTAAATATCCTTTCCCATTTCGTAGATATCCTTAAGAACTGGATTTTTTAATTTAAGAAGAGATAAATGTTGGATACTTTTAGCCTATTTACTAGAAAAACAGATATTTCATGATTATTCTAAGTTGTTGCAGATAACTATCCTAAAAAAAATAGATGACAACTTGTTCTAGAACAAAGAGCTAGTATGATGAGCCGATATTAGAATTCAGATAGGGTTTTTTTGTTACCACATCCTAAGAAGATAAAATACAGAAGTTGAGAATGGGTTAAAGAAGTCATAACCACACCACTTACCTTGAGAGTCAGAATCTCAATCCTGAGTAGCTGGAAAGGCTAGAACCCAGGTGAAACTATTTCACTGTGTAGCCCCGATTTCTAAAATGCATCTAGAAACTTGGTGCATCTACACAGTGGAATACTATGCAGCTGTTAGGAAAGATCGATCACGATCACGATCATCCTGTTGTTTGTCGAGTGCCTTGAGCAGGCACCAGTAACATCTCCTTCGTCCTAGCCCTGAGATTTTTAAAAAGTGCCATATTCAAGGCTCTTTCAGGATTAGGAGAATGAGGCTCATCATTGTTACTGGTATTTGGCATATTAGGTACACCACGGGGAGTTTGCCAGACTCTGCCATGTGGGCAGGTTACATTCGGCCGCTTGCCAGGTTGTCCAAAGTAAGAATGAGATAATAAGATGTCCCACGGTGACAAATGTGGCCGCGCACTTCTGGGAGCTGGGTTTTATAGTCTCTGGGTCTTGGCCATTGATGGGATTACACTGCGCTGGGGCTCAGTTGGTGGGTGTGATCCTGCCTACTGGAAGATGGAGGATCTGGGTGGAGGATGCTCAGCCACGATCTGAGCAGGCTTGGAGATCTCAGCCCCTGGACCCGCATGCCTTTTTGCCTCTGCCGGTACCTTCATTCGTGTGGAGGGTGGTCTCAGAGTGGTTGTGGCTGGTATTGGAGGTCTTCGGCTCCTGGAGCTCTGCTCGGGGCGGGGAGGGAAACTCAACCCACCCCCCTCCAAGAGGCCCTGGAGAGGACAGTCAGGCGTGGGGGCAGGAGACTCTGCACTGTTTTCTTCCAGGAGCTGGGTTTTATAGTCTCTGGGTCTTGGCCGTTGATGGGATTACACTGCGCTGGGGCTCAGTTGGTGGGTGTGACCCTGCCTACTGGAAGATGGAAGATCTGAGTGGAGGATGCTCAGCCACGATCTGAGCAGGCTTGGAGATATCAGCCCGAGACCCACATGCCTTTGTTCCTCTACCAGTACCTTTATGCCTGTGGAGGGTGGTCTCAGCATGGTTGTGGCTGGTTCTGGAGGTCTTTGGCTACTGGAGGTCTGCTCGGGGCGGGGAGGGAAACTCAGCCCGCCCCCCTCCAAGGGGCCCAGTGAGGACATCCAGGCGCAGGGGCAGGATATTCTCGTTAGGAAAGATAAACTCATGAAATTTTTTTCTTATACATGGATGGACATGGAGAGTATTATGCTAAGTGAAATGAGTCAGAAAGAGAAGGAGAGACATTAGAAGGACTTCACTCATTTGTGGAATATTAAAAAACATAAGACTGACACCCAAGGACAGTAGACACTAGGACCAGGATTATTGCTCCACAGCTGGAGGCCTGTCTATGAGCTGGGGAAGAAGGCAACTGGGACTGAGAAGGAATCACTAAGTTAATGATGGTTGGAGGGATTGTTCGACATGGGAGAAGTGCGCTGAAAGTAGATAAAGGACCAAACGTGATGGCCTCTCAGTATCTATATTTCAAGCCATAATGCCCAAAAGTAGCAAGAGAGTAGTGGGGAAAATGTCTGCCATAGAGGCAGGGGAAGGGTTGGAAAGGGGGGGAAACTGGGGACATTGGTGGTGGAGAATGTGCACTGGTGGAGGGATGGGTGTTCAATGACTGAAACTCAAACATGAAAGCTTTGTAACTGTATCTCACAGTGATTCAATAAAAAAATAAATAAAAATAAAACTTAAAGGATGCACATATTTATACAACCCATGAGTAACATAATATTCTGCTATTCACAGTAAATTACATGAGCCTTTTCATATTAATAATAAAAATCAATCAGACTGCTAGGTGAAAACTGAAATTAATAACATGACACAGCCACAAACAACTTGGGTGTCAAGGTAGTAAAATTTCATTTCTCCTGTCAATTTCACCTATCTCACAAGACACACACTGACTGAGACACACTTTCTTACCATGATACTGTAGTTGACATTCACTGTCTCCGCCTCACTGGGGGCCCTCTTCTGAAAGGATTTTCCATCGCACATTCCTTTCCTTACAACATCATAGATGGGATTTCGAGGTTGGTGGGTGTATAGAATTCTTTTCAGTTGCTTTTCCAGAAGTTGTGGAGCATTATTAACTACTTCAAAAACACGATAATCTGCATTAAATCTAATCGCCTCTGGAAAGGTCTGAAAAAAAATAAATTTGCAGAACAACTAATTTTTGTTTGTTTTGGGGGCCACACCGAGCAATGGTAAGGGCTTACTCCTGCCGCTTCATTCATTCAGGAAGCTGAGTAAACCAAACCTCTTGCAAGGCAAGTTGCCCCACCCAATTACTATCTCACCAACCCCCTTAAATTTCTTATTTTTAACCAGAAACAGTTACCAAGAAGAGCAGATATTACATATATGTGTGTGCGCGCACACACATACACACAGAATTTCGTGTTCTTATTATCTCTCCCTTGAGCAGCTTGGAACTCCAGAGCAAGGGAAACCACTTTTCTTACATGCTAAATGGTGGCAGAAATTCCCTTCGAAAAGGCTTCTAAGATTCTTTGGAACTGGGAAGAAATATACGTGTCCCTGCAGCCATGCTGTCCTCTTAGGGTGAGTTAGTAGGGAAGAATGAGAAAAGGGAAGAACTAACAATCTCTTTCATCCCGGGGAGCCATGAAAGCTTGTCTCTCTTTGCAAAAACAGAAGAAATTCAAGTTAATGTGTTCCTCATTTAGGAGCATTTCAACACCATTCCCCTCAGTAAGTCCAAAAAAAAAGTGAAAGACAATAATATTTCTAAGCTTTTCTCAGTAATTGGTAGATTCTGCCAACTTTTATTTAAAGGCAGTCAGTTAATTTTCGTCAGAGTGTAGGATTTGAACGCTGACTTGCCAGCAAACTCTGGGACTCACGGGAAAGCAAAACCCATTCTTGGGACACCATCTCCTCCACAGAGAAGCAGTGGCTTGGCAGCCCTTTTCCCCGGGGCACCCCAAATCTGGAGTCAGGCCCTATTTTGGGAATACTGACTGATTTTAGGAAGCCCTAGTCCTGTGGATTAATTCATATCTCATGAGTCATGTGGCAGAAGACACTGGTCTTAGTATAGCCAAGTGCTCTACTTCTCTGAGTTTACCAAGATCACAAGATAAGCCACAGTCAAAAGTCAATAAGGAGCAGAATAAAGCAAAACTAGTGTTAGAACTCAAAGATCTGTGTGTGTGTGATTTAATGACAGATAATAGAGCTCTCTTGGGGCCAGAGAGATAGATAATACAGCAGGTAGGTTGTATGCCTTGCATGCAGCTGACTTGGATTTGAAATTCCATAGGGTCCCCCTAGCACCACCAGGAGTAATTCCTGAGTGCAGAGCCAGGAGTAAGCCTTGACCATCACCAGGTGTGGCTCAAAAACAAAACAAACAAAAAATTAGTAGTGCTCTCAAGTGTGATTATCTCCCCTTCTGTCACTGTCACTGTCCTCCCTGTTGTTCATTGATTTGCTCGAGCGGGCACCAGTAACGTCTCCATTGTGAGATTTCTTGTTACTGTTTTTGGCATATCAAATAAGCCACAGGGAGCTTGTCAGGCTCTGCCATGCGGGCAGGGTACTCTTGGTAGGTTGCTGGGCTCTCTGAGAGGGACGGAAAAATCAAACCAGGGTTGGCCGCATGCAAGGCAAACACCCTACCCGCCATGCTATCGCTTCAGCCCAAAGTTATGCTATGCACCCAAAATGCACTCTATTTTCAATGTGATATATATCATACACTGTCCCCCAGAAGAATAATACCACTTTGAATTTCAAAGCTATTTGAGTGCTCAAAACTCACACTCATAGAAACACCCATGTTTCATGGCAATGGAGTAGAGAAACCTTATCTCCCTCAAATAGTGACTTCAGGGTCAATGGAGGAAAACAACTAAAGAAATTATTCCATTAATTGCTACCGGTTGATTTGCCACCAATGATACTGGTTGATAATTATAGCTTATGACTGGATCCACCACAAGCTCTTTCTCATTTCACATTTAACAACACTTATAAGCAAAGCTCAACCATTGTTCTGATGAATAGGTAGTTTCTGAGTATTTTTCTAGGTGTGAGACACAAAACTAAGCAACACCTAAATATTATCTTGTTGAATCTGGCAAAATGTTTACCAATACATTCTATAAGCTGAATAGTAATATCTCCATTTTACTAGAATATTTATTTCCTAGATGCTTAATCATTTCCTAAATGATGAAGTACATTATCAAGGTCTCGGATATGGTTAGGGAGGCAATTTTTGACAGTAGCGATTGCGTTCCTTAGAACATATTCATTGGTTTATGGACCTTTCTTATCATCTTTTCTTATCATCTCCCCTTCTGAGGACTTAAAGTCAGAGCTCAGAGGAAGAGCTCATGTACTCAGAGCACCTGCCTTGCAAGCACATGATAACAAGTTCAAATATCCAGGACACAGCAGAGAAGCTTTGGAAGGCAGCGGCCCCAACCTGGCGGCAGATTCAAACTAGTGATTCATTCTGCAAGCCTCTCATTTTTTGGAAATTTCAGGTTAGGAGAACGGGATAAGTTTTAGCCTCTTACTCAGAACTCTCACTAGGGCAGCCTGACCATCCCAGCCACATTAGCCAATAGTTCATTAACCTCTACTCAATCAACGTTCAACCCCCAAGCGCAAAAGCAATGGTGAGTTCAGAAGTCCAAACTGCAAAGGTCACAATGAAAACGTCGACCATAGCAGAGGGAGGGAATGGCGGGGGGAGAGAATTTTTTAAATGATGAGAAAAAGAACAAAAAAACTTCCTATAGCACTTAAAAATGCACGGAACATTGCAAACCACAATGCCCAAAAGGAGAGACAGAGAGGAGGAAGAGGAGGAGGAGGAGAAAGAGGAGAAGGAAGAGAAGGAAGAGGAGAAAAAGGAGGAGGAGAAGGAGGAGGAGGAGAATGAGCGGGGGGAAGAGGAGGAGGAGACCTGCCAGAGGCAGGGCTGGGGGCGTGAGGCTGATGGGAGGAAACCTGAGGGACAGGGAACCTGGGGGACACTGGTGGTAGTGAATGTACACTGGTGGAGGGATGGGTGTTGGAACACTGTATAACTGAAACCGAGTCATGAACAACTTTGTAAGGGTCTACCTAGCAGTGATTTAATAAAATAAAATGAAATAAATTTTTTAAAAAAGAATTCTCTGATTCTTTGTTTTGTTTTTATTTGGGCCCCATCTGTTGGTGCTCAGGGCTTACTCCAGGCTCTATGTTCAGGAATCACTCCTAGCGGTGCTTAGGGGTCCATATAGTGTGCCAGGGGTTGACCCCAGTTTGGTCACACAGAAGGCCAATGCCCCCCCTGCTGTACTATAGCTCGGGCCCTCAGCATGGAAGGTGAAGAACAGAGCCAATGCCTCACCCCATTCATTGATGCTGACGGTCCAGGCGCCGGTGCCTGAGGAGGAGAGGAAGGGGAATGGACCCTGTTGCTTCCTCTGCTGGAGGCACTTCACACTCATTCCTCTTGTTCCGCGAGGAAGAGGCAACAAAACACTGACAAATCATCCAAAAGGTTCCAGCAGCCACCGGCCACAGCAGAGGTCGCCTACAAAGCACGGGGAGCGACCCTGAAGCGTTTCATCTGGTGTGTCTATGTATTTTGGGAGACTGGGCTTGGCGAGCAGCTCCAGGAAAGGCCAGGAGGAACAGCGGAGAGAAAGAAGTGTCGGGTGGGGCGTGCTGCTCTCCTGAGAGTTCTCATGAACAGGGGTCTGAACCTTCCCCTCCACCCCCTGCCTTCCCTTTTCAACCATCCATCAGTCCAGGTCTGTCCCCCAGGGTCCCTACTAAGGTCACCCCCCATGTTCCTAGTGTCTTGATTATCACATGACAGGTGACTTCCTCCTACACTGGGGGCCCTTCAGAGCTTCCACCCTGCAGCCCACAGGCTCCTGGGGCTCTCTGTCCTTGAGGGTGGCTCAGGCAACAAGAAGGAGACAGAAAGCCACCATGGCCACAAAGCTCACCCCACTGGAGGGAGTGGGCCTGATGGGTGGCAAGGAAGGGGAAAGAATACAGAATCCAAGTGGGCCCCCACAAAATTCAGGGGGGTCCTGTCTCCAGAGAGGGAGGATCCCAGTGAGGATTCCTACAGCACTGAGGGCTTCTTGGGCTATTTGGTGGAGGGCCAGGTGAGATGGGAGTGCGGGGCGGTACAGGAAGGTGGGGAGCACTGAGGGGCGGGCAGCTTCTCCTCTCCCTGTCTCGTAGTCTCCAGAATGTTGGGGATGGGGGTGGGGGGGGATGTGGACGGACGGATACAGCCGACACCATCTTCTTCTGCTCACTCTCTGCTGAGCTCCACTAACTCGTTTTGATTGATAAGGCACCCTGGCTGGCAGCTTGGATCCCTCTCACCGATGGGAAACCAGGGAAGAGGGTTGAGCTGCCTGAGGGCAGAATCCAGGTGAGCTGCCAACTCTGTGACTTTCAGCCGCACTTCTGGGTCTTCAGACACAGGGTCACATCCAGGCACCATCTACGTCCCAGGCACCAGTCCTTTGCTCCTATCACTGCCAAGCTTATCAACAACACCCCAGAGGTTAGTTCAATCAATGACAGAAGTTGGGGAGTAGGCAGAGAGACGGGGATAAAGGGGGCAGGTGGGGGTTAACCCACGGGCTGATTCGAGGAATTCTCAGTCCCTAAGCACAGGACGCCTTGAGTTTCTGCAAGGGCAGTGGTCAGCCCACACTCCCCCCTGACTTCGTGTTCTTATTTCCAGAGTATCTCCTTTTCCAAGTTCTCTGCAAAAAAATCACCCCGAAGGTGGTGAAAGCTAACTCTGTAGTACCAGTCATCCATGTGCGAAAAGTATTTTCACAGAAAAAGCAAGTGCATGAAAATATTCTTACCACAATAAATTGCTGGTTCCACATTTCTTTGAAAAGAGGAGGGAAAGGAGGTGGGGGAGAACCCCCAAACCTGTGAATAATTAGTGGCGTGCTGAAGCCGCCAGCGCAGTACCACTGAAACACACCAGGTGCCAAATTATTTAGTTGAACAGTATTTAAATTAAAAACTAGTGACTAGGTTAATTTAATACATGTTCATTTCTGCTCCAACTCTGTCTCTTCTAATTGAGCGCCAAAGCTATGCCTTAAACATGCATCGTGGACTGTGAAAGA